TTGCTGGCTACACACGATAGCCCATGGCAACCCACTGCCACAGGGGCTGCAGCCTATGCCGTTGCCGGCGACTCACGGCAGCCCAGCTCCAGGTTGAGCTGTTGTTCAGCATCTTAGCTATAGAGGACAGTGTCACTGGCCCTCATATGTGGGATCCGAACCAGGCCCTTGGCGTCCCAAGCCAATTCTTAACCATCGTGCCACTCGGCCAGCCCTCAGATTGGCTTATTTAACTTAGTAATATACCTTTCAGGTTCTTCCATGTCTTTTCATGGCTTGATAGCTCATTTGTTTTTAGCACTGAATAATATTTCATCCTTGGATGTACCACATTTATCCATTCACATACTGAAGGACATGTTGGTTCCCTCCAAGTTTTGGCAATTATGAATAAAGCTGCTGTAAACACCATACAGTTTTTGTATGTACATAAGTTTTCAACTCTTTTGGGTAAATACCAAAGGATCATGATTGCTGGATCATATGGTAAGAGTATGTTTAATTTTGAAGAATATTGTAGCGGCTGTACCATTTTGCATTCCCGCTAACGGTGAATCAGAGTTCCTATTGCTCTACATCTTTACCAGCATTTGGCATTGCCAGTGTTTTGGATGTTAGCCATACTAATAGGTGTGTAGTGGTATCTCATGGTGTTCTAGTTTGCAATTCCCTATTGGCATATGATGTTGAGAATCTTTTCATAATGTTTATTTGCACCTGAATATCTTCTTTGGTGAGGTGTTTGTTCAGATCTTCTGCTCATTTTTTAACTGGGTTGTTTGCCTATTGTTGAGTTTTAAGAATTCTTTGTATATGCTCTATAGCAGTCCTTTATGAGATATGTCTTTTGCAAATGTCTTCTCCCAGTCTGTGCCTTGTCCTTTCATTCTCTTGACAGTCTCTCTCACAGGGCAGCACTTTTAATTTTAATGAAGTCCAACTGACCAGTCTTTTTTTCATGAGTGATATCTTTGGTGTTGTATGTAAAAAGTTATCATCAAACCGAAGGTCATCTATATTTTCTTGTATCTTGTTTTTCTAGCTTTAGAGTTTTGCATTTTACATTTAGGTCCCTGTGATCCATTTTGAGTTACTATTTGAGTTACTTTGGAGGGTACAGGTTTGTGGCTAAAAATAAATTTTTTTAACATGGATTTCTAGTAGTTCTATCATCATTTGTTGAAAAAAATGTACACTCTCCATTGATTTACCTTAGCTCCTTTAAAGATCAGTTGATTATATTTATGTGGGTCTATTTTTGAACTCTCTGTTCGGTTTCCTTAATCTGGGTCTTTTACCCCTCTAAAGAAACTTTAGAATCAGCTTGTCAATAACCATAAAATAAGTGGCTGGGATTTTGATTTAATATTGTACTGAATCTATGATAAAATTGGGAATAATTGAAAACTTAACATTTTTGAGTCTTCCTATCAATGAACAAGAAATTAATCTCCATTTGTTTAGTGCTTTGATTTGTTTTATAAGAGTTTTCTAGTTTGCCTCATATAGATCTTGTATATATTTTATTAGATTTGTACCTAAGTCTATCTTATCTTTTTTTCTTTCTTTTTTTTGGTTGTAATGTAAATAGTATGTAGTGGTAATATAGTTTTTATTCAAACTCCAGTTGTTAGTTGCTGGTACATTAAAAAGCAGCTTATTTTTATATGGCAACCTTGTATCCTGCAAGCTTGCTATAATCACTAGTTCTAGGAGTTTTCTCTTTTTGTTGGTTCTTTCAAATTCTCTACAGAGACAATCATGTCATCTGCAAATAAAAACAGTTTCATTTCTTCTGTCTCAATCTGTATACCTTTCATTTGCTTTTCTTACCTTGTTGCATTACCTAGGACTTCAATACGATGCTGAAAAGGAGTTGTCAGAGGTGACACCTTTGTCTTTCCTGATCTTAACAAGGAAGTTTCTAGTGTCTCAGCATTAAGTATGATACTAGCAGTAGGTTTTTTTGTAGATGTTTATCAAGTTGAGGAAGTTCCCCTGTTCGTAGTATGCTGAAATATTGGTTCACTTTTTAAAAAATCACATTGAAATCCTTCCACTCCCAGTATTGCTATACCTCATCATGTCTACATTATATTATCCTGATAGTAGTCTTTTCAGACACATATATGTCTTAGATTAGTCAACACCAATAATTTATATTTCATTAAATATTAGAAATTCTAACATGACCATATCACTATATATATGCTCACTTAAAATTTTTCTTTCCTTGCGTCACACTAAAGGCCAAGGGCTTTAATTTGTCTTAATGACAACGTAAGCTTACTTTGGCACATGTTAGCCAAAGTGCCTTACTCTTGATTTTAAAAACATAAAAGTAGCCAGACTCTGGGCTGGCCGAGTGGAGCGATGGTTAAGAACTGGCTTGGGACGCCAGAGGGCCCCGGTTCGGATCCCACATATGAGGGCCAGTGACACTGCCCTCCACAGCTAAGGTGCTGANCCCCCCCGCCCCCTGCCTGGAGACTGCCCTAGATAGGTTCATTTCATGGTTAATACTTGTTAGACAGTAGACTCAACCCAGTGTGGGTGAAGAAAATGATATAAACGTTTGCTTAAAAAAAAAGTTTATTGGCTTGAAAGGTCATTCCTTAAGTATCTTTCCCTGGTTAGAAGAGTAATCTTTTGGTATAGTTTTGAGAGTATTAGAAAGTAATGTAGACCCTTTTCCCTGGAGGACTTCTCCAGAAAGACCCAGGGAAATGAAGACTTAGCATGGTGCCACTAAAAAGTTAGCAGATGATAATACATTATTTTGTAAAGGAGCTCATATCTCCTCTTATATTACATTTTTATTTTATTTATGTGATTAGAAAAAAACATACCTTTATTTTATTTATAATTCTTATTCTCTATTTTTTATGGTCTCTTAGTTCTGAAGTCTATGACTGGAAGATTCAGATTTCATGATATTGTTTAAACCAATCTAGGCAAAGTCATGTTCTTTAACTCCTCAGAGAGAGTTTAAGAATACAGACTTTCAGCCAAGAGTTGTATATCCTTTTTTACCCAGAGTAGTAATTTAAAGAGTACAATAAGACTTGGAATCTTCTGGCCACATATTTCAGAATTGAAAGAGAGCCTTGAGATTATCCAAGGACACCCCTTTCCACTCTACCTTGCCCCATCCCTCCCCTTCCAAAAAAAAAAAACAAAGAGAAATCAGGAGTTCTAGAGAAGTTTTAATAGTTTGATAGATGAGTCTTTTTAAGATCCTGATTATTTGGCTTATGCTGCTTCAAACTCCAGATGAGAATTCAGAGGTGGTTGACTTAGTATTTTGCTATGTAGGTATATGTTAAGATTAAAATTTAACTTATCAAGTAAACCCTGGTATGGTATTTCAAATCTTTTAGGTTTCACTTATTTTAAAACATATTTTTTGTACTTATAGGAAATTTGTATTGCAAAACATAATGAAAAATTCCAACAACGCCTTCACACTGAAGAGGAATATAGAACCCATCACACACTACAGCTGGTAAGTTTGAATTCTTAGAGACTTAGAACAAAAGTTCAATTTTTACATGTATCGAAGTGAATGAAATCTATAAAGAAGAAGAAAATGTTATACGTAAATGTTAGCAATAGTTCACTATATATATATATATATATATATATATATATATATATATATATATATATATAT